GATTTCAGATTGTGTTTGAGAGTGTTTGGGTGTGTGGGAGTAGTGTGTTGGTGGTGATCATTTTTAGAGACTTGCATCCTGTCCAATGCAGAGACTGAATCACACATACACACAAATAGAACTAAATTACCAAGTTGGTGCTCTAAGCAGGTCAGAAATGAATCATTGTGTGATGCTCAAAGGTGTCATGTTAAACCAAGTAGACTTTCGCATCTCTTCAAGTACGCTACTGTTCAAAATTTTGCATTTGCTAAGATGTTTTTTGAAAGACGTCTCGTATATTCACCAAGCTTGCTACTATTTGATTACAAGTACAGTAAAACAACAATATTATAAAATATTGTTAGAATCTGAAATAACTGTTTCTATGTATTCCTGTGATGCAAAGCTGAATTGTCAGCATCATTACTTCAGTCTTTAGTGCCACATGATCCTTCAGAAGTCATTTTAAAATGCTGATTTGCTGCTCAATAAAATTGTATTATCATTATAAATGTTAAAAGCAGTTGTGCTGCTTTATATTTTTGTACCCTACAATATATTACATGAGATTGTGGTTTTACAGATACACTTTCTGTATAATGCACAAGGTAGACAAGTGTATTGTATGTGTGCAGACTGTTTGAGAATGTGAACCATTCTTTATTAATCTGTCAGTATCCAAAAGAATGATATGCATTACATATACATTTTTTGAGACTTAATTCAAATGAAGAAAATCTTTCTGTTATCCGTTATAGCATGTTTTCTCAGCTGAAATTTTGGTGCATCTCTCATTCCTTTCCATATTTTTGCTCAATGCACAAGTCAGAAACTCTTTGTCCCAGTGCAGACTGGACTCCCGATGCCCAGACAGCCGTAATAATGCCCATATGGCATTGGATCAGCATGGCTTAACATATTAGTGTTACCCTGAAGGTTTAAAGCTCTGGTTAGGATGCTCTGTGCGAACATGAACCTGCAAAAATGGCATGTACAAACCCTGAATTGCACAACTTATCTTATAACCTAACCAGTAAACACATCTTGAACATCTATCAAGCCACATAGACAAACAACTGACTAGTTCTAACTAGATAATAATGTGTATATAATGAGCAACACCCTGAAAGGTTACAAGCACACATAAACGGCACAATGGCAATATCTATGTAAAAGCTGTACAGTAATGAGTCTCAGTGCGGCCTGTGTGTGCTGTATTTAGCTCTGCTGTTACACAATAGTCTTGCTCTCTCTCTTTATCACAATCACCTTGCACTCTCACACACAAGTAAAACTCTCAAACGGACCACATTGGCACAAACACACACGCTCAGATCAGACCTTCTGGTGACCAAACGTCTTATCTCTGCAGGGAATTTGAGATTAGCCTCTTGCTGCATTAATCACCTGGAAAAAGTATTCAAGTATATAATGCAGTCAGAGCTGTGGCTTATTGGTTGTTGGCATTCTGACACATTAAGATGAGAGAAGAGGATAAAGAACTCACTCGCATAATTTCCTGTCTTCTCTCTACTACCCCTTTCCATAAATGTTGCACTAAACAATTGATTCTATTATTCAGTTTGTTCCAGTTTAACATTGTAAGTAGAAATATAAACCTGTTTTAAGTTTCTTCATAATAGTCATTTACAGTACTATTTAATCAAAGTTAGCAGGTCTGAAGAAAGCAGAGGAAAGGTTGTAGGGATGTTGGGGTGAAACTGATCTATGCTCGACTCTGGCTTGCTTCCTGGATTATTGCTTTGACTCTTCTTTCCCCCTGTCTGGGATGCTCTCTCACCTATCTTTATGTCCTGTCATTAGATTCCACATGACTGCATCCTTATGGGTACCATTTACTGCAAAGAAATTAGTAGTATACACACTACTTTAAAAAAAAAAAAAAGGTTTAGAATGATTTGTTATTGTTTTAAAAGAAACCTCTTATGCTCAGCAAGGCTGCATTTATTTGATTAACATGCAGTATTTTACAACATTATGTTTTTTATTTTATCATTACAGTTTTAATGTAGGCAAAGCTAAATATTCAACCACTATTACCTTAGTGTTCAGTGTCACATGATGCTTCAGAAATCATTCTTATATGCTGATTTGCTGCTTAAGAAAAATTTATTATTATCAATGTTATTAACGGTTGTGCTGCTTAATATTTTTTTTGTGGAATTTGTGTGTGTGTGTGTGTGTGTGTGTACAAGTTTATATTATATTGTGGGGACCAGGTTAATAATAGGTTAATAAATGTACTAAATTATATATATATTTGCTTTGTGTGATTGATAGGTTTAGGGATAGGGTTAGTGTAAGGGGACAGAAGAATATACAGTTTGTACAGTATAAAAAACATTACATCTATGGAGAGTCCCCACAAAGATAGTAAACAGTGTGTGTGTGTGTGTGTTAGTATTTGAGCGTTTAATCTGATGGTCATTAGTTAGCTAGGAAAATGTTTTTCTCAGTTTAAGATGCAAAGGAGGAAATGAAACTAGTTGAAATGAAACAGCAGCTTTTCACCACAAACCTTAGTACTAGGTCACACTTTAATCTTTATGTCAGCCAGACACAAACACACATACACACACACATATCTTACAGTAGCGCTCAGAGCAGTATGTCATACAGGGTGAGTTTGTCCCTTTAAGTGATCTATCTCCTGCTTTCTCTAATTTGACACTTTATACTCCCCGGCACAATTTAGAGGTCACCACTGGCTGCAAAGATGCACACTGTCTGACCTCTGAGTGTGAGGGAGACCGTGAGAGGATAGGCCTTGTTATGAGGACCATTAATTCTTCATTTCCAAATCAGCACTTTTGTTCACATCTTGTACTTACACATGGTAAACCTTCCATGTGATATTTATTACAAAAACATTACTCCTGGGACAACGCGTAGACTAAATCGATGACGTTGACGCAAAAAATGTTGATGCAAAATATGCGCGTCGATTAAAAAAAAAAATTGTCTGCTTTGTCGGCCGCACGTATGCTGCTGCTTCCGCCGCCACCACCGCCACCGCCGCCGGATAGGCCGCGTCTACAGATCCTTCAAGCCGATCTCCTCCGCCATGGACCTGAGAAACACGATGGACCTTTCCCTTCGTGCTACTTAAGGCCAATTTATACTTCTGCGTAGGGTGCGCGCAGTAGGGACGGCGTAGCATACGCACAGACGCGTCCCATACCGCGTACCCTTCGCCGTCGTCTGACGCGCACCTCTTCAAAAATTTAACTACTAAGTTCTGCCTTTCAGTTTTAGTAATTTCACTAACGTGAACTGTTTTTCCACCTCAATAAGCTCCAACTCCAACATGATCAGCTCTCTTTCAGTCGATATTGCTTGTAGTAACCTAGCCGTGAGGAATCTAAACACAGTGGAACATTAAAACCCTCCGCCGCCAAACTAGCGTTTCGGAGCAGTACTGCAGAGCAACCAAGACCTGAACGCAGAAGTATAAATGCTCACAACGGCGTCACCTACGGCGTACCCTCGACGCAGAAGTATAAATTGGCCTTTAGTCCGCAGCTCAGGCCTTGGGAAGGTGCGCGGCTGCGCTAACCGTCACAGAGAGGCACCTCTGGCTGACGCTTGCTGATATGAGGGAGTCTGAGATACTATAATACACCATCACAGGCTATTCTTGAGATTCGCCTTTGACGGTCAGGTATATCAATACACCATCCTTCTCTTGGGCCTGTCTTTAGCACCCCGTACATTCACGAAGTGCATGGACGCGGCTCTAGCCCTCTTGAGAAATCAGGGCTTGCGAATTATGAACTATTTGAATGATAGGCAATTGAATCCCCGGTTCCACCTGGCCAAGTGTCGAGGTGTCCATGAGCAAGACGCCTAACCCCAGTTGCTCCCGACGAGCTGGATGGCGCCTTGCATGGTGTTTCTCAAAACCAAGAATGCAAAGAACGGACTTGTGTTCTTGGGAAGAAAGCTCTTGCTAGTTGTTCTTGGAAGAATGAACTCATTGGAGGTGACGAGCACACTGAACGCTGCTGACAGTTTGAGACGATGTGTTCTTGCTGGTATTGCGCAATAGTACCCCCGCACAGACGCCGTCTGCAGTGCCCAAAAATAACGAGAATTATTGACGATAACAGCCAAGCTTTATCGCCCAAGCCTACCTTCAGCTTAAGGGATTACTCTACATACACTACAATGTAATGTATATTCAAAACAGTAAAGCAACACCTGTCTCATTTTAATTCTGCTTCTGTTGTTTGTTTGTGTACATCACTAGCCAACGGCGGGAAAAAAACGCCGGTAATATTCAGGTAACTTAAAATTTACCTTCCCACTCCTTTCTCGAATCCCGAAATGAATGATGGGATATTTCTGCCGTCAAGTTCACACAAGTAAAATGGGCGTGTCAAGAACACATCTGGGATTTTTAACCGTTCTTGCCAAAATGCAAACTTGTGTATTGGGACAGTACTTGGGCTAATGATGTTTCACAAGTCCACAAGTACAGACAAGAAGGCATATTGATAAATGGCAACAGTGTATGAATGGGTGAATGTGAGGCATAATGCAAAGCGCTTTAGTGGCCATTGGGTCTGTGAAAGCGTTATATAAATGCAGTCCATTTACCATTTACATGTATAAATTGCTATTATTCAATTAATGGGGAGATAATCAAAATCAAATCGAAATTGAATCAGAACTGAAAAATGAATCGTTAGATTAATCGATGCATTGAAAAAATAATCGCTAGATTAATTGTTTAAAAAATAATTGTTTATTCCGAGCCTAAAAAACATATTAACATGCTTTAATATTTCCATAATGTATTATAACTGGCCTGAAGTGTTTTAGCCCATCAAATGTGAGGGAATGTTGTTCTTAACCAATTATTGGAGGACAAAATAGAACTTGCTGTGTGTATACTTTTATTTTGAGATCTCTTTTGTTAATCTGTAGTACATTAATGCATTATGCGTGTTAAAGGAATATGTGTTTTATATAATCAGTTCTCTCTCTGTCCGCAGGGGTGGTCTGATGTGGAGGCTGAGGAGGATACTGATCTGGGTGCTGGGAATTTACATCGCTATCCCTGTTATCATCAAACTCTGTCCAGCAATACAAGCAAAATTAGTATTTTTAAACTTTGGTGAGTTTTTTTTTTTATCCAATCTTTTCAACTTGGCCAAACTATATGTACATTTTGGTATGAAGGCCAGAAGTTTTTTTTAGTCTTGTCTTAATTTTTACTTTATGGACCTTAATTTATGACTAGTAATGTGCACTAGCAAAGTAAATATTTTTCTGCAGACTTCTTTTTTTTAAGGTTTCTTTAACTCTTTCCCTGCCATTGATTGTCATTTATGACTCAACACTTCCCCACCATTGACCAAAAATTCCATCAATCCATGTTTTTTACTGTTATGTGTTAGGGGGTGCTGTAAGCCTGACTAATGAGCGTTACGGTCTTTCCATGTGGCAAAGTAATTTGATTAAATAATATACATTTTTTCATGTAATAACTCGTTATTTCATCTGACTCCATAAATGAAAAGGTTTTAATGATATCTGTGCATCATTAAATGTAAGCGAATGTTAGAATAAAATCAAATGTTTACAATTTATTATGTCAGGTAAATATGTCATGCCAATTTCATAATCAGTTCAAAGATAATCAATACAATAACATCATATGTGTAAAATATGTACCGATATGTTAAACCCAACATTTAGAAAAATACATAATACTGAAGCCTTGAGGTTCTTCAACATTTGGGCTAATCTGAGTTACAAATTGCACCAAGCCTTTTGCTGCATTTCAAACACAGGCGAAAAAGAAGCAGAAACTTGCCATTGGAGCATAGAGTGGTGCAGGTGCAGTGGATAAGAGTCAAGACACAAGCCTTTGGTGTGAGAGACCCGGGTTCGAATCCACTGTGAGACACCAATGTGTCCCTGAGCAAAACACTTAAACCCTAGTTGCTCCAGAGGCGTGCGACCTCTGACATGTATAGCAACTGTAAGTTGCTTTGGATAAAAGCGTCAGCTAAATGAATAAATGTAATGTTAATGCAGGTATGACATCACTTTTTAGGCCAACGGACAGTTTGCATCTCACTGGTTTCCTTGACAAAAACCTAATAGGATTTTTCCATAGGCTTTTGGTTTATCAGTAAAAACAAGATCTGTGATCTACAAAAGTTAATGATACTTGCACGTTTTGTCCATCAAGATAATTATCACAGATTAACACAACTTTTATTCATTTTGAAGCCTAAATGTAGTCGCCATAAGTAAAAAGCTAAAGGTAGGCTATAAACGTACTACACCATGGTCCCACGACTTCAACATAACCACCACTAAGCTTCTGACAACTCTTTCAGTTTTTATCTAAAACATTCCCCAGAAAGTTTGAGTTAGAAGTTTATAAGAGCACAATTATAACCATAATAAAGTGGACTAGGTTGACCTGTTTGGCGTAAAAACGTTTAATCTCCCCTGTAGTCCCATTTATCCACTTGTTAGCAAACGCCTTTTTCAAGACACGTAACAGCTTAAAAAATACAAGTGGGGTAATATTGATGTATTTTATGTTGCAGAATAAAACGTGAAAGTGTCTTGAGCTTTTGTTCACAACAGATCTTATTTCAGCCATTTAACCAAAATCCCATTAAAATAAAAACTGACTTCAGGACGATGGAACCTGAAGTGCTAAAATGCTAACTCGTTTCTGTGTTTTTGGCCTACAAAGTGACGTCATACCTACACCACTCTATAGACCATTTCACAAGATGTAAACAACACTGGTCCAGAAGCACTTCCTGTTTCAGTTTTTTAACACTACATAAAAGCTGGGATAAAATACAACCAACAGAACATTTAAAACTGAATCAAAAAGTTAAACAAACATCTTTAAGATGTTTTCTTTACATGTGAAATAAAGAAAACAGTTACAAACTGAAACAGGAAGTGCTTCTGGACCAGTGTTGTTTACATCTTGTGAAATGGTCTATTCCTTATGCACATGTTGTAGTCTTTGGAAAAAATATATTTTCTCAGCTATTTGTTCAAAATGTTGCTTTTTTTTATGAAACTTACCCAAAATCAAGTATTCCAAAACAAAAAAATTAAAGAAGCTAGAATAAGATGGGCTTTTTATCAAAAATTATTAAAGAATACTGGTGGCGGTTGGTAACTATTTTAAAAAATGTTGGCTGGGAAAGAGTTAATGAATACAAAGTTTAAAAGAACAGCATTCATTTGAAATAGAGACATTTTGTACTTTTTACTGTTACTTGATCAATATAATGCATCCTTGCTGAATAAAACTTAATTTCTTTCAAAAAGCCTACTGACCCCAAACTATTGACTGGTAGTGTACCTGTGTTCAGTAACGCTGATCCACAGACTGGACTTTGTCCTCTTGGACGGAAGCCTCAGCACTTGTTTTGCAACAATGTCTTTTGGCATATAAAAGTGTTGTCCATTACAGAACAGACTCTGCGGGACGTCATGACATTAAGACATTTCAAACATTAAAGTTGGATGCACAGTTGCAGTTTGGGTTTATAGTCAGCCTTTTGTTGTTACGACCAAACAAAGCCATCATTCATCCATCAGTCCAGTTTAAATGCCCACTCTGTTCACCGCTGAGATCCTGTCTCACTTCAACAGCCTCTCACATGTCTCTCGGTCTTATCAGATTATTCCTATGTTGTCACATCATAGTTTCATTTCCCTGAGATTAGTCATGATTCTGTGGTGTTTCGAGCTGATGTTAGCATTAGCATTGTCAGCTGTCACACCACTTCTGTCAGCTGATGTGTTTCCCCACACTATGTTCTGCTTCTGTTTGCAGTCTGAACTAATTATGGACAGACTCTGTGTAAAAGTGAAACTGTAAGCATCCCTGTGTCTGCTTTACTCAGAGAGAAATCTGTGACTAAAGTTGGTAAATTTAGTCTAGTCATCAGTCTCCTGAGAAGGCTTGTGGCACACTTTCAGTTCTTAAATGTTATTTGCTGGTACACGGACAGTCATTATATAGATTCACATGACTCTTTTCCTGTCTTACTTTGACCAGATGTACCAAATGTATAGGAAAAACAGTTAATATTTTTATGGAAATGTTTTTTTTTTTTCTTTGCGGGATTCTTTGATAAAAAATAAAGACAAAAAAATAATATTTGAAATCTTTTGTTACATTTTTAATGCGTTACTGTCACTTTTGATCAATTTAATGCATCCTTGCTAAATATGAGTATTCATTTATTTAAAAAAAATCATACTAATCCCAAACATTTAAATGGTAGTGTACATTATGTTTGTTATGACTGGATAATATACATGTACTGGTATAGATTAAGCTGATATCTAGATAAGTTGATAAATCTATCAAACAAAATTTGCTGCTATGTAACACAATACAAAATTAAAATGCATTAATATTAACTGAGTCATGTAGAAGTTTCTTGATATCATTGATGTATAAATCTCAGTGGTCATATGTTAAAGGTAACATGTAATACAAATGTACACTATTTTAACTTATTTCGATTTCAACTGATGACTCCATTCTGGTATCTGATGCCGACTTTCCAAGATCCCAATTCCCGTTGGATAAAATCAAAAATTCGGACCTACTTTCTTTTTCCATGGAATATCCTGCTAAACTGAGAAATGCATCAGAATCAGCTTCACTGATTTCTCTCTGTTTCACTCTCTTTCAGTGCGAGTACCGTATTTTATAGATCTGAAGAGACCACAGGATCAGGGCTTGAATCACACTCACAACTTCTACCTACAGCCGGAGGAAGGAATCAACATTGGAGTGTGGTGAGAGAACAGACACAGCTAAAATACAGACACAGCCTGGCTTACCTCCACTCACTATCTCTCTGTCTCTCTGTCCTCACATTCTCTACCCTACAGTTTCTGTCCCTCTCTCTCTCTGCCTATGGCTATGGCTGTCTTTCTGAAGGGCGCACTTATTGAAAAAGTGCCTGTGGCCCAAAGTATGCAAATCCGTAGTGACAGAGGACTGCACGGGCCCGTGGCTGCTGGCCATTGGGTGTGACTGTGAATGTGTGTGTTTGACTTTCACTGAGTAACAGTGGAAAGGGCCATATAGTTTTCTCTCCATAAATAAGCTCATTTGTGTACTGGTCACATTCAATATTGAGTAGGAGAGTCTTTTACAATAAATTCTTGGTGAAGTCCTGAAAGAGTACACTACTATGTTTGGAGACTGTAAGATTTTTTTTTTTTTTTTGAAAGAAACTAATATGTGAAATTAATAATCCAACAAGGATGGATTAAATTGATCATAAAAGTGACAGTAAAGACAATGTTTTATATGTATATTTTAAGAAGAAAATATATATACAGTGTGTATATATATATATATATATATATATATTTCAAATAAATGCTGTTCTTTTGAATTTTCTATTCATTAAAGAATCCTGAAAAAAATGTTTTCAACATTGACAACTATAATATTAGTTAATTGAGCAAATCAGCATATTAGAATGATTTCTGAAGGATCATGTGACACTGAAGACTGGAGTAATGATGCTGAAAATTAATAATAAATGGAATAAATTACATAGTAATATTATGAAATAATATTTCTGTATAAATTAAATATACTAAAGATTTTACTGTATTTTTATCAAATAAATGCAGCCTTTGTGAGCATAAGAAACTTCTTTCAAATAAAGTAAAAATTTGTCCAACCCCAAACTTTTGAATAGTAGCACATGCCTACTTAGTGAATCAAACCTTTTCACTATATCAAGTGCAGGAAGCAGTGTTGTAACAGATGTATGCTCTCTCTCTCTGTCAGGCACACAGTACCTACAGTGATGTGGAGGGAGGCTCAGGCAAAAGATCCTGAATGGTACGACAAAAGCTTCCAGTCCAGTCACCCTGTCATCCTGTATCTCCATGGTAATGCTGGAACAAGGTACACAAACACTCAGGGACACGGGATCAATTCCACTTTCTAAAGCCCTCTCAATCTCAAAAATGATTCATTGTCCGACGTCCATTAAAAGCCAATTCACACTGAACCAACAGTTTGTCAGGTTCTGTCAGCATCTGTTGCCGTTGTTTTCTCACATTGAACATGTTTGTCGGGTCTCCCTTTCTAAGAGAGTTTGTTGTGTTCAGAACATGATGTGATATGATTGTAAATGGTAACAGAGAAAAAAGGGCATCATACTAAGTCGACAAATGTCTGATGCCTGATGGTTTAAAATCTGTTCAAATTTGAAAAATCATGTAGGCTATTCCAGGCTTTATAAGGATTCTGTCAAATGCAGTTCAATAGATTCAGTTGTTTGGTCAATTTACTTTTTGTTTGTGTGTGTGTGTGTGTTTCAGAGGAGGAGATCACAGAGTTCAGCTCTACAAGGTAAAAAAAAAAAGCAATTTCCTTAATTTATTATTTAATAAAATAAAATTTAAATTAAATGAATTATTTTGTTCAGCAAAGATGCATTAAATGAAAGACTACTACTTCAAGTAAATGCTGTTCTTTTGAACTTTCTAGTCATCCATGAATCCTGAAAAAAAAAGTTATTTTCAACATCAACAAAAAGTTTCTTGAGTATCAAATCAACATTTCACAATATTGCTGCTTTACTGTATTTTCGATCAAATAAATGCAGTATTGGAGAGACACTTTAAAAAAAAAAAGTCTGGAAATTTGAGTCTGGAAAAGTATGATTTAAAAAAAAAAAAAAAATTTAATGGAAAATGAGCCCTTTTTTGGTCTATTTCAATAATGATTTCAATAATGTCAGACATTTTGTTTTCCGGTCACTGTAGGTCCTTAGTTCATTGGGCTACCATGTAGTCACATTCGATTATAGAGGTATGTTGGGTGTTATTTTTAAAGCATTATCCTATTATTGGAGTCAGAATCCCATACCCAGTGCCGAATTGAAGTACTATGTGGTTTTGTTTGTTTGTGCAGGTTGGGGTGACTCTGAGGGCAGCCCTTCAGAGAAAGGGATGACGTCAGATGCCCTCTTCCTCTACCAGTGGATAAAGCAGCGGATTGGCCAGAAGCCCCTGCACATCTGGGGTCATTCACTCGGCACAGGGTGAGATGAACTCGCCAGAGCCATCTCAGAGAGCTCTGAGGATAGCGTTCCTTTGTCTAGAAGTGGAACATATTGTTCTTGGAATAATATTTTGGCATTCATTTGACATAAAGGAATTGATTGTGTTGCTCCCTGTGGCATTTTTGAACTGCTGCTGATGCTGTACTTTCCTGTTTTTCCAGAGTGGCCACTAACCTAGTGAGACGGCTGTGTGACAGGGGTACGTGATCATTAGTTTGTGTATACTTATGGGCTGGGATGTTGAAACTGAGAACAAACCAGAGCCAGCAGTGTAAAACTACAATTATTTGAGACCAAGTAGAAACTTCCAACAGCTGGCTGCAGCCGTTTGAAACTTTATCCTTCAATGGCTAGGACCCATTTACTTCTAAGAAATCACATTGAATAAAGGGATGGGTGCTATGTTCACCTCATTATTATTCATGATTCAAGACATTCTTGTAGACTTTTGAAAATCCAAAAGTGTGATTTCCAGAGCTGTAAAATTTGTGGAAATTAATACAATCTTACAAGATCATGGACATTTCTATAGTCAATATACACTGCTATTCAAAAGTTTTGGGCCAATCAATAATTCTATTCAGCAAGAAGGTATTAAATTAGGGCTGCCAAACGATTAATCACGATTAATCGCATCCAAAATAAAAGTTTGTGTTTACATAATATATGTGGGTGCACTGTGTATAATTATTTTATATATATAAATACACACACATGCTTGTATATATTTAAGAAATATTTTCATGTCTGTACTGTATATAGATTTATATATAATTTATATATGTAAATAAATATTTTATATATAAATAATATTTTTTTCTGAAATATACATGCATGTGTGTGTGTGTGTGTGTGTGTGTGTGTATTTATATATATATATATAAAATAATTATACACAGTGCACCCACATATATTATGTAAACACAAACTTTTATTTTGGATGCAATCAATCGTTTGACAGCCCTACATTAAATTGATCAAAAGTGACAGTAAAGACATTTATGATGATACAAAGAAAATCTATTTCAGTAAATACTGTTCTTTTGAACTTTCTGTTCATCAAAGAATCCTGAAATAAATTATCACAGCTTCCACAAACAAAGTGATACAACTGTTTTGAACTTTGATAATAACCAGAAATGTTTCTTGAGCAGCAAATCACCATAGTATACTGGTTTCTAAAGGGTCATGAGACACTGAAAGACTGGAGTAATGATGCTGAAAATTCAGCTTTGCATCACAGGAATATATATATATATATATATATAAAAAACAGTTATTTTAAATTGGAATAATACTAGGTTTATAATCTATTTATTTATTATTATATCAAGCCTTTTTTCAAAATCCTTCTAATCCTCACAAATGAGTGGGAAAGTGATGGCTAAATTCTGGAATAGCATTGGCCAGAAAGTGCGGAAACCCTAAATGTAAAAAAAAAACCATTTGTTAATATTATTTAATAATAATTATAATTGGCTCACATAAAGAATGATGAATGTAAATTAAAGTGCCCTGCTCGCCAACAAGAGTTTAGGAATATAATTTCTTTATTTCTTGTCAGTAAAGAAGCTGCGACTCTGATTTGACGTTTCAGAAATAGACAAGCTTTAATAGGCATGGACTAGATTAAGAGTGAATTTATGTAATCGGCAAGCACTTCAAGTCTTTGTTACATAAGCCTGTATTTAAGCTGCTGTTACAAAACTTGAAAAAATGATGACTTTCTTCCTCTGTGTTTACAGGAACGCCCCCTGACTCGCTGATTTTAGAGTCACCCTTTACCAATATCAGAGAGGAAGCCAAGAGCCATCCCTTCTCTATGGTGAGAAATCAAGTCCATGTTCACTCTCAAAGTATCATGTATTGCCATGAATAAAAGCAGAACTGACCTTGGACATTGATATATTGTATGTTCATTTATTATATATGTGTAACAGGTTTACAGGTTTCTACCAGGCTTTGACTGGTTCTTCCTGGATTCAATTACTGCAAATGACATCCGATTTGCCAGTGATGAGAAGTAGGTTTAGTTTGTTTCTCTGGAAGTTTAGGTGTGATTGTTTGTTTACCCCGTGTCCAACTTGGGAAACTGTTGAGTGTTTACACAGCATTTACTGTAGCATTTCACATGCTGGAGGCTTCATCTTCCACTGAGAATTTGTTTTAGAAACACGTTTAATGTGAATGTTTGTATACTGTAAAGCGAGCACTTTAGTATTCAGCCCCATGTGACCGTTGATTCTTCAGACATGGGTGCAGTGATCATGCAATTCATTATACAGACCTCCAGTGCAAGTTCTCAGACTGGACCTATGATCTAAGTTCTAAGACGAGACCTATGAAATCCCTATAAGGTTGGACCTCTGAGTAAATCAAACACCTGAAAATGTGTGTGTCTGTCTGTCTGTCTCTTAGTGTCAAGCACATATCCTGTCCGGTTCTGATCCTGCATGCCGAAGATGACACAGTCGTACCCTTCCAGCTGGGAAAGAAGGTAAAGCATCAACGTCAAACAATGGCAGGGTTTATTTAAAACTGTAGAATGGATAGTTAAAACTCTAAATTCTGATTGGATGAGATATGCTCATTATACTCGAATTACAATAGTTTGTTCACTTGTTATAATTAAACCTAATTTCTGCTTTTTAAAGCACATATGGCATGTCTGATGGTACTTTATCTGCCATGTTTCACAGGGTCAAGTTTTGCTATATACATGTGAGGATGTGTATTAAACATGTTACATGTCAAACAAAATCAAACACCAAATAAAGTTGCAGTAAAAATATTTTTTTGTTCATAAATAACCTAAACCTAAATATATCTTCATTGCAAACCATTGGCATCACTTTTTGTTTTTATTTTAAATATTAACTAACATTATTATACGATATAGAACACAACCACTATGTTACTTTATATCTGTTTGATGTAGGGTTATTATGGTTTAATAAAACCATAAAAAAAAATCTGTTAGTTGAAGTAAAGTAAAAATTAACCGAAATAAAAAACCTTAAATCTATTTTATTTCAACTAGTTGCTTAAGCAATATTTCTCAATTTTATTTTGTTTAATCATATAAAATGGTACCTCCTAATTCATTTGTATGAAAGATGCTGTTGTCTCTGTTTATCCACAGCTGTATGATTTGGCGGCTCAGAGTAAGAGTCTGAATGGACATAAGGTTCAGTTCATCCCGTTCTCCAGCTCTCTGGGATACAGACACAAGTTCATCTACAAGAGCCCACAGCTACCAAATATACTCAGGTATGTACTGTATACTGTACAAACTGCTGCCATCTGTACTTTTTCCCCAGTGCTCAGTGCTGACGGAACAGTTCAGCAACAGTTATTCTTATTGTTTTATTTTTTGGGTGTGAATACAAGCTATTTTTAGGATTGTGCCAGGTGGTGTAATTTTGACATTCAACAAACAGATCTGGTTTTATTTGAGATGGAGGTTGTTGGTAATGATTTCTTTAGGGAGACAGACCTTACATTTCTTTAGTAGACACTAGAGGTTGCGTTCTCAAACATTTTGTCATCTGAACCGCTGTGATCAAAATTATTTATTTGAAATAGCCTAATATTTTAAGTAATAACCTTTAGCCTTTAGAAATAAAGGCTTTTTAACTTTTCTAAAAAGAGTGCCTTGGATGTTCCTGTTGATTTCTACATGTTTTTTCCTATCCAAAGAGCAGCTCAAGCTTATTTACTTGAGTCCAGGAAGCGCTTCTCTACAGACATTTGTTTATAATAACCTAGTTGTCTAAATGTATTAAATTGATTTAATAATTTAATGACTGATTCTTTTGAATCAATTTAATTAGTTAACTTTTTAAAATGATTAATTATATATTAAATAAACCTCAATATATTTGGACACTGAGACAACTCTTAAACTTTATGTATTAAAGTCTGCAAGAATTTTTCCAAGAACTAACTACCTTTCATGGACATGTTTTCTTTTTCAATTACTGTTGAACAACTAGTCCGACTCCGAAGGTTATGTTTCCTAGACAATTTAGAAAAATGTGTCTTAATTTTTAACTGTATATCTGTGGTTTTATAATTGAAAACATTACAATTCTTGTCTGAAATATTTTGCCATCTTTCTTTACATATGACACTGAAGTGTGGCTAAAGCATCAAAATCCTTCAATACTTTTATTGATATTTGTGTATACTATTAAACATATTTCTGTGTGTGTATATATATATATATATATATATATGTACACATCACATTTTTTATAGATTCATTTAATGTAGTTTATTTTGATTTAAATGTATTTTTTTCTTTTTTTTCTTGCTACAACTGTAGCAAATCCCGGTCAAGTTTTATTTCTATTTTGAGAAATCTAATGCTTTTTTGTTCTCTTTGTCTCTCTGTCGCAGTGATTTTCTCAGTGCAACGCTTCCTCACATGTAGTCAAGATCATTTTACCTGACTGCCCTCTCTCACACACTGTCAGTTAAACACACACACAATGTACATTATCCGCACGGTGTACATCATGTGTACTTGTGCACACACACGAGCATGGACTGAAGATGCAATGATTCCTTTTGCATTACTTTGTTAACACAACCCACGGAGGGAGAAAGTTATCATCTTTGAGAGAGTGACAGGACTGGGTGATTTGTTTCACCGCCTCCTGTTGTCATGGTGACAGATCTGAAGGGGCAGCTGGAGCACAAATTATGCAAAATAATATGCAAATACGCACTGAAATTAATGCTTAAGTCAACGAGCCTCTTCAAAGAAAAAAAGAAGTACAGATGAAGTTTTAACGATGGCACTGAGAAGACCACACGAGGATTAAAGTCAAAGGGACGAATCAGGACAACATGCTTTAATGATGTCACCGTCAGTGCTTGCTGACTGCGATTCACTGTTTTGTTTTGTTTACGAACACACAATAACCGACTTATTAACAGTATCATGGACCTGAAATCCACTCAATGTGAACAGCGAGTTGTTTTAGGTTGAACTTGAATCATGTACAATAAAATGTCTTCTTTCTTTTTGTTTCTTCCCATTTAAATGATGTGTCTCCTGAATGATTTTAAAGTGCAGATTTTTGTGCTGCCTTGGCATTAAAACTCTGTGACTTTTTTATGGGGTTTATTGTGTATTGTGTTTATGCTGTAATGTTTGCTTGGTACATATGCAACACAACTGCAATCAGAACTGAATGAGCTTTTGACATGACATTTCCCTCCCCAAATTCCCAATGTTTTATTATTTTAATGCATTTGGTTGAGCTATGCTAGTTTGCATGCGTTACTGGAAAAAAAATGTTGCACTTTCAAAAGAAAAAACTGTATGCAAAATCATTTTCTTTTCTTTGTTATGTGGGTTGTATATTTTCTTTGATGTTTATACTCACTTTGCACATTCCAAAAAAATATATATATATATAAATTAAAGACAATAATTCCTTGTTACCATAATATGTTGGATGCCCAAATCAAAAACCCTAGTGACAAATCTTGATAACTTATTTTTTATTAATATTACATTAAATTTGTGCAATCCCCTTTAATATAGAACCAAGAAAAAAACTTTATATTAATCAACTCACTGATGTACACTACTGTTCAAAAGTTTTGGGTCAGTAAGTTTTTCTATTATGTTCACCAAGGCTATTTTTATTTCAAACCACATTCACAGTATAAAACTGTTTCAGAGGTTTCTTGTCATCATCTTGTCAAATATTTAAATTATATATGACTACTGTGTAACAAATGAAAATAGTGTTGTATGCACCCTTTATGTTAAATATGGTCTGAATTTTTTCATAATTTTTTCATAGAAAATGTGTAGCAGCTGTATTACAATATATTATATTGCATAATATTACAACATTTTAAAATATAATTTATTCCTGTGATGCAAAAGCTGAATTTTCAGCCTTATTACTGCAGTCTTAAGTCTCTCATGATCTTTCAGAAATCATTCTAATATGCTGAATTTCTCCATTTCTTATTCTGTGTTGAAAACAGTTGTGCTGTTTAATATTTTGTATACCACGTTTTTTTTATGAATAGCACGTTATTTGAAATCTTTTTAACATTTGTCACTTTTGATCAATTTAATGCATCTTATTTGCTAACTTATTTCAAAAGAAAAAAGATCATGCTGAACCAAAACTTTTGAACAGGTAGTATACTTTGTTTACAGTTATTGAAAATATTTTTTTTTTTCTAACAAGTTCATTCTGACCCAAACTTCACTTTTAGTGTATCTTCCAATGTTTTATAGTGTTCTCTCAAATTTTGAGCAATAACAACACATATTTTTGATTTGCTCTGACATCTTGTCATGTATATTTGATTAACACATTTTCTTCCCAATGTGCACTGACCATCTGATAACTCTTATCTGCGAACAAGTTAATCTTACAGGCCTTTTGAAAATCAAGATCTGCTGTATTGTTGCTATATTTGTCAGACGTTTTTTGGGGCTGGTAATGATAGGGAGGTCATGTGTGCAAGCATGCAAGCTTGGACCGTCTCAAGGGTCTGTTTGTACACTGTCAATGTTACTCTCAGATAGAAATTGCATCCCAATATTTTTTGCTTTCTTCTGTCAGTGTGAGCTCAAGATGGACTGATACACTGAAAGCAAAACAACCAAAATCTCTTAGTTTGCAAAGGACTATGTAGAAAGTTTTAGTGAGACCACCAGGTCCTAGAGAAGTGCAATAATCTTATCTAAAGCCGAAGGACAACCATACTGTATGTAAGACCAAAACAAACTATATATAGAGGTATAAATGAAGCCACTCAATTATGTATCTTGTTGTGTTAGAATGTAAAAATGGACCACAGTATATTTGGATGTCACTGCTCTGACCTTCGTTGATGTTGACCAAACTTTGCATATTTGAATTCAACACTTATATACAATTTTTTTTTTTTTTTTTTGTAATGAAATGAAATACTGCCCAGTTATTTCAACAGCAACTGTTACTTTTTGCAGACTATATCATGAGTGGTTTACAGTGTTCGTTTTATTCTAAGCTGCTAAACCTCACTGGACACATGCACAGATGTAAGTACATTATGTTTGTTTGTAAACAATAAAGGACTGGAAAAGAAATATGTATGGCTCTCTGATATCCCAATTTTTAAAAACTTTTATACTGAATCCCAGGACAGAAAAATTATTTTTAAGTACCTCACTGACTTTTTTTTTTTTTTTTGTGCGAAAAAATACGTTTCTCCAATCTTCTTAAAACTCTGGATTCTGATAGAGGGCCATGGAACTTAGAACCTAGTGCTAAAAATGGAGGCTCTAGCCCCTTCCAGAGCTGAGATATTGAGATATTTATAATGGCATAAATGCTACGTGGTATCTCAATATCTCAGCTCTGGAAGGGGCTAGAGCCTCCATTTTTAGCACTAGGGTCTAAGTTCCATGGCCCTCTATCAGAATCCAGAGTTTTGGGAAGATTGGAGAAACTTAATTTTTCGCCCGAAAAAAAACAAAAAAAGTAAGTGGGTACCACTGTCGTTTTTTTTTTCGGGCCGAATTTTTGAGTTTCGATATCTCAGCTCTGGAAGGGGCTAGAGCCTCCATTTTGCACTCAGGTCTAAGTCTCATGGCCCTCTATCAGAATCCATAGTTTTGGGAAGATTGGAGAAACTTAATTTTTCGCCCGAAAAAAAACAAAAAAAGTAAGTGGGTACCACTGTCGTTTTTTTTTTCGGGCCGAATTTTTGAGTTTCGATATCTCAGCTCTGGAAGGGGCTAGAGCCTCCATTTTGCACTCAGGTCTAAGTCTCATGGCCCTCTATCAGAATCCATAGTTTTGGGAAGATTGGAGAAACTTAATTTTTCGCTCCGAAAAAAAAAAAAAACGTAAGGGGTACCACTGTCGTTTTTTTTTTTGGGGCCGAATTTTTGAGTTTCGATATCTCAGCTCTGGAAGGGGCTAGAGCCTCCATTTTGCACTCAGGTCTAAGTCTCATGGCCCTCTATCAGAATCCAGAGTTTTGGGAAGATTGGAGAAACTTAATTTTTCGCCCGAAAAAAAACTGTAAGGGGTACCACTGTCGTTTTTTTTTTCTGGTCGAATCTTTGAGTTTCGATATCTCAGCTCTGGAAGGGGCTAGAGCCTCCATTTTTGCACTCAGGTCTAAGTCTCATGGCCCTCTATCAAAATCCAGAGTTTTGGGAAGATTGGAGAAACTTAATTTTTCGCCCGAAAAAAAAAAAACACGTAAGGGGTACCACTGTCGTTTTTTATTTCCGGCCGAATTTTTGAGTTTCGATATCTCAGCTCTGGAAGGGGCTAGAGCCTCCATTTTTGCACTCGGGTCTAAGTTTCATGGCCCTCTATCAGAATCCAGAGTTTTGGGAAGATTGGAGAAACTTAATTTTTCGGCCGAAATAAAAAAAAACGTAAGGGGTACCACTGTCGGTTTTTTTTCGGGCCGAATTTTTGAGTTTCGATATCTCAGCTCTGGAAGGGGCTAGAGCCTCCATTTTGCACTCAGGTCTAAGTCTCATGGCCCTCTATCAGAATCCAGAGTTTTGGGAAGATTGGAGAAACTTAATTTTTCGCCCGAAAAAAAAAAACGTAAGGGGTACCACTGTCGTTTTTTTTTCGGGCCGAATTTTTGAGTTTCGATATCTCAGCTCTGGAAGGGGCTAGAGCCTCCATTTTTGCACTCAGGTCTAAGTCTCATGGCCCTCTATCAGAATCCAGAGTTTTGGGAAGATTGGAGAAACTTAATTTTTCGCCCGAAAAAAAAAAACGTAAGGGGTACCACTGTCGTTTTTTTTTTCGGGCCGAATTTTTGAGTTTCGATATCTCAGCTCTGGAAGGGGCTAGAGCCTCCATTTTTGCACTCAGGTCTAAGTCTCATGGCCCTCTATCAGAATCCAGAGTTTTGGGAAGATTGGAGAAACTTAATTTTTCGCCCAAAAAAAAAAACGTAAGGGGTACCACTGTCGTTTTTTTTTCGGGCCGAATTTTTGAGTTTCGATATCTCAGCTCTGGAAGGGGCTAGAGCCTCCATTTTTGCACTCAGGTCTAAGTCTCATGGCCCTCTATCAGAATCCAGAGTTTTGGGAAGATTGGAGAAACTTAATTTTTCGCCCCAAAAAAAAAAACGTAAGGGGTACCACTGTCGTTTTTTTTTTCGGGCCGAATTTTTGAGTTTCGATATCTCAGCTCTGGAAGGGGCTAGAGCCTCCATTTTTGCACTCAGGTCTAAGTCTCATGGCCCTCTATCAGAATCCAGAGTTTTGGGAAGATTGGAGAAACTTAATTTTTCGCCCAAAAAAAAAAACGTAAGGGGTACCACTGTCGTTTTTTTTTCGGGCCGAATTTTTGAGTTTCGATATCTCAGCTCTGGAAGGGGCTAGAGCCTCCATTTTTGCACTCAGGTCTAAGTCTCATGGCCCTCTATCAGAATCCAGAGTTTTGGGAAGATTGGAGAAACTTAATTTTTCGCCCAAAAAAAAAAAACGTAAGGGGTACCACTGTCGTTTTTTTTTCGGGCCGAATTTTTGAGTTTCGATATCTCAGCTCTGGAAGGGGCTAGAGCCTCCATTTTTGCACTCAGGTCTAAGTCTCATGGCCCTCTATCAGAATCCAGAGTTTTGGGAAGATTGGAGAAACTTAATTTTTCGCCCAAAAAAAAAAACGTAAGGGGTACCACTGTCGTTTTTTTTTCGGGCCGAATTTTTGAGTTTCGATATCTCAGCTCTGGAAGGGGCTAGAGCCTCCATTTTTGCACTCAGGTCTAAGTCTCATGGCCCTCTATCAGAATCCAGAGTTTTGGGAAGATTGGAGAAACTTAATTTTTCGCCCAAAAAAAAAAACGTAAGGGGTACCACTGTCGTTTTTTTTTCGGGCCGAATTTTTGAGTTTCGATATCTCAGCTCTGGAAGGGGCTAGAGCCTCCATTTTTGCACTCAGGTCTAAGTCTCATGGCCCTCTATCAGAATCCAGAGTTTTGGGAAGATTGGAGAAACTTAATTTTTCGCCCAAAAAAAAAAACGTAAGGGGTACCACTGTCGTTTTTTTTTTCGGGCCGAATTTTTGAGTTTCGATATCTCAGCTCTGGAAGGGGCTAGAGCCTCCATTTTTGCACTCAGGTCTAAGTCTCATGGCCCTCTATCAGAATCCAGAGTTTTGGGAAGATTGGAGAAACTTAATTTTTCGCCCAAAAAAAAAAACGTAAGGGGTACCACTGTCGTTTTTTTTTTCGGGCCGAATTTTTGAGTTTCGATATCTCAGCTCTGGAAGGGGCTAGAGCCTCCATTTTTGCACTCAGGTCTAAGTCTCATGGCCCTCTATCAGAATCCAGAGTTTTGGGAAGATTGGAGAAACTTAATTTTTCGCCCAAAAAAAAAAACGTAAGGGGTACCACTGTCGTTTTTTTTTCGGGCC